ATAAATATGAAAATTACAAAAGTGATACTAATACATTCAAATTGTAAATCCAGTTACATAAGATAGAAGATAACGATGGCAGGACGGTGGTCTCTGGAATGCGATGCCGTTTCGACAAATGTCTTCTTCCGACCAAGAATCTATAAGCTTATACATGATATAATACATATCATGTAAGTACTAATGTTCATATGTATTATATAATGTATAAGCTTATAGATTCTTGGTCAGAAGATGTTTGTTAAAATGGCATCGCATTCCGGAGACCACCGTCCCACCGTCGTTGTTATCTTCTGTTTTATGTAACTGGATTTACAATTTGAATGTATTAGTATCACTTTTGTAATTTTCATATTTATATTATTGCTATCATTAAAGAAACATTGAGCGCACTTTACACAGTTCCTGTGGCTCTCTTTTCATACAAATGTAGTAAGTGCAGAACATTTTTCACTAGCTAAAGCTTCCAAGCAGTCACCAAGGGCAGTTCTGTGTACCCAAAGGTCCGAAGGCACGAATGATGGGAAGCCTCCGTCTTGGCCTTGATAAGCAGCCTCTGAGACAAATCTCCCAGTGACAGAAGACAAGAGTCTGGGTGCCTCATCCTGCACTTCCTTGCATTTACTGTGGAAATGACTGCAGGAACTATGCTTGCATTTTGTTTTGCATTCAAATGCTACTCAGGGCATTTTAAACAATTCCAGGAAATGCCCAGAGGAGTATTTTATTGTGACACAGACACCGAGTAGATATCCTTTGTGTAGATATCTCATAGTAGAGTAGATATCTCACAGTAAAAGCCTGTGTGAATGCTGATGTGATTTTGTCAATTTTGAGTAGAGCCCCTGTTCACATATGATCCTCCAAATAGAGCCTATGTGAAGAACAAGGCTAGCTGTGATTATAGGGAACTAGCAGGTGTTTCTTGGTTTTTGTAGTACTTGTATTGGTTGTTCAGTTTAAGAAGAGTGATCATTAGTGAATTAGAGTGCAGTGCAGCCATTGTGTTAGGGGTCGAGGTTGCCAACTGAACTCCTTGGCGTCTGCCAAAAGTTCCACAGAAGGTTGTTTCTATAGGAGATAGTATTATAGGCTGTTGTAACGTCTGTTATATGTATCACCTTCCTTGTTTCTTGCAAAGTCGTCTGCTTTTGTAAATGGCAGTTTTCATTACGGTATGTCATACTTAGACAAGTTTTTTGTTTGCACTGTTTTCCAGTTCTATAGTCCTAGTCCTTCTGCATTGTTCATTGGTGGCCCTTGCTGTCAGATTGAATTGCTCTTCATACTTTGTAATTCACTTTGAGTCTCAGTGAGGAGGGCAGGCTATAAATGAAGATGATGATGATACAATTCAGTGACTGTTTGGCTTTAGTATACCACTGTTGTCCTAACATTATTTTCAAATGAGTGAAGTGTAACGAGCACTTGACCTGACAGCTCGGATTGGACTGCTGCTTCCCAAAACATGTAGACTGGTATTAAAAGATGTGATTGTGTTATTCAGGCTGTATGTTTGTTGCATATAACACTGAGGCACCTGCAACAAGTCATTGCTGCATGAAGCATGAATCTCTAATGGTATGAAATCAATATAATATTGAAATCCAGTTCTCTTCAGTGCCTGTTAAGTCTCCTTGGTTCCAGTTTGTTTTTACCTAGTAGCTATAATCAGTCCTCATTGGCTATCACTATAAATGTTCTTAGATATATTATTAAGAGAGCCTCTCAGCAGGTGGTGATTTGGCTGACTTTATAGTTCCTCTTTTTCTACCTGCAATATTGGCACCCTTATGTCAATAGTTAGCAAACTTCTATCAGAATTTTTACTGCGTCTTCAATCCTGAAAGCTATTAGTACAAGGCCACGACAGAATCTTTCACAAAAAGGGCAGTCCTATATATTTAGGGGAAATCTCTGTATTTTGCACAACTCATTGGGAGAAGTTTTAGAAAGAAGCTGGGTAGTATTGGTAATTTATCCATTCCTGACTCCTAACTAGTGTTCGGGAAGGCTTGACGGGGGGTGGTGGGAGAGCCTCCTCCCTTCCTCCATCTCTTTGCCATCTTTCCTTCCTTTCCTTTTCTTTCCCTCTTT